TCGTAGCGTATGAAATGTGTTGTCGTTTCGAATTCAGTTTGTCTCATTAAAAATGCAATCTTCACAGTAAATTCTCTCGTCTTTATAGACGGGCGTATTATGGTATGTCTGTTCGTCTGTCTGTAACTAGCTGTCATCTGTGGACTTCGCCATTTTAATTTTCCAGATTTTTTTTAAAGTCATGCCTTGACTTCATATTAAGTTACAGAGTGAGTTTCAGTTTTAAGGGAGTTTGCCCAATATTTATGGCCAATTGAAATTTTTATCAACAAGTCAGTTTTCCAAATTTTCTGGTCGTCCTTTGAGATTATTATTTCATACTTGTCACATTGACAAATAAAAATGAGAGTCATAGTTCTAACATTTAAAAATTTTGAGTTTTGTGGACTTAAACTTCAAGAATGACCAGACATATATTTCCTAGTGACTTAGTATTTTTAAAAATATTTTGTTTCGTTCTACAACACTTTTTATGAGTTGGCCCTAAAAACTTTTGAAAGCCATGTTGTTGGTATTCTTTTTTAAGTTTAATTACTTTATTAATTGATTATACGCGACGGATAGGGCAAACAATACCACATACAAGAAAACAATTATTATAAGTTCGAGGACCATAAAAACTTATTCAACGACATTAATGCATAGTCAATAGACTTTTTTTTCGGAAAACAAACGAGCTGGTACGTAACGAACATAACAAACGAATGTAAAACGAACGATTATCTTTGCAGAACGAACAATACATAAAAATGAGTTGATTGATTGTTTGTTTGTAGTTTTACGTCCCTTGCAAGATTATTTCAAATATATGATACGCCACTAAATACCAGTGAAAGGCTTCAAATTTAGACCTTTACTCGGCACTACGGGCCATTGAGCAGTGAGGGTTCTTTAGCGTGCTAACGCGTTCTGTGATGCGGGGCCTCGGTTAAGGTCTCATCCAAAAGAGACTCAACTTTTACATCAAGGTTGCGAGCGCTTGGCGAAGGAATATTTGCTAACTATTTTATATTGACTTAGGTTTGCCGTGGCCGGTGCTTGAACCCACGACCTTCCGATCACGGGGTGATCGTAATAAAGTCAACTGGAGCCTAGAATTGACTTCCTCTTAAAATGATAACTAATTATTTATTTATTATATATAATAAAGATATATAATATATTTATTATAGTGACTGAAGTAATGCATTATAATTTAACTGTTTAGGGAAAAGCGCTTTAGCAGGTTCCCGTGTTGAAAATGAAGTAGATAAACTCAGTATCATTATGTACTCCTTTATATGATACGATTTTCTCATAGTCCAAAAACGCATCTTTAATAAGTATCTAGAGCTTTCTAAACGTTAGCCTTATTTCGTAGTTTTGCTAATTTTGAAAAGTTTCTAAACACTCATTTATGGTACATGTATATCGGTTTGGAACGCTCTTTCAACAGGATAAGAGTCGCCCGCGTGGCGCAGTGGTTAGAGCGTCTGCTCTAGAGTCGCGAAGTAAGGAGTTGATCCTTACGTCGCGGGTTCGAATCCCACTGTGGGACGTGGAGACCGGTCCTTCGGATGAGACCGTATAAACCGAGGTCCCGTGTCGCAGTAGGTGCTGGCACGAAAAAGATCCCTCACTGCTCACTGGCCCTAAGTGCCGAGCATAGGACAAAATTTGCAGCTCTCCACCGGCAAGTGGTGGCGTCTCCATATGAGTGAAAAATTCTCGAGAGGGACGTTAAACAACATACAATCAATTAATCAATCAACATAATAAGTCATGAAATGCAACCGAAAATTTTGAAGGATATAAACTTCAAGTCTGTGCTTATGTCCCTTTAACAAAAAATGTTTTAATCTGTGTGTGTGTGTGTGTGTGTGTCGCTTGCCGAGTATGACAGGCAAGGGTGCGTCAAAAGTTCTTGCCTACATTTAGAGATGTGATGAAGATAGGCATCGAAAAATATGGAATACTTTTGTATAAATGATATACTTTAATTTAAGAAATCCACTAAAGGTTGAAGAGTTTGTGTATAGCCGAATATCTATAAAAAATGAACTCTGTCATAAAAAAGTTGGAAATGGTGTACGGTAATTAGTGATCGGAACGTGTTGCTGCATTCACATTTCTCTTTTCCGCTTCTTGAATCTCCTTCAAATTCCCTGTTATTTTTCCTTTCAATTTTCACATCAGTGATGATGTTTTTTTTTTGGGGGGGGGGGGGTAAAAATTGGATCGCACTCTTGAAAACGTACGTCACAATAGAATTTTAACGTTCTTCTCTGACGTCATTGAATGTCAATTTTCAAGTGATAAGGCAAGCATGATCCATGAAAATGTAAGTAACTGAATCAACTTTTCAGTTAAAACAGTTTGAAACTTTTAACGGAAAGTAAAGAGAATTTTAGGAAAGTTTGCGTGTACAACAGGGAGCGATGCTGATTGCTAGAGTAAACGAATCAAGAGACAGTGCAGGTGCTGTATTGTAAAAGGATTTTGACCTTACGTTAGGCCTGTTGCCCATATTTCTGTAAACCAATGGGATGGTAGGATTTTGAAAATGCAGCGCAATTGCACAAGAGGGGTTATGGCTTTTGCTTTTGCTCAGGTTTAAAGTTATTTTTTGCTCATGAATATTTTTGTTATTTACTTTCTGCCGTGATTGTTAGAGCCATATTGGTTCTTTCCTTCGAGTTTGAGGATACATTGACAATAACAAGATCCCTACCAGGAGAGTGTAAGGAAAGAGGAATATATTATATTAATTCCAGCCTTGCTGTTCCGCTTTTACCTTTGGCATACCTTACACTCTCTGACACCCTTGCGTCCCCCACTCCCCTTTTCCCAGGTCCGGGGGAACGAGTTTTCCAAACGCACCACAACTTTTTAGCAGTCGAATTCCAAATGCCTCGTGGACATTAGCATTATAACTTAGAAAAAATTGTCAATGTTGAGAACCTTTTAAAACAAATCTACAGTACATGAAGAAAATGGAAATTACTTTAGTTCAGCCAATTAGTTAAAACTTTGGTTCCGCCATTTAGTTAAAATTTTGTTTCAGCCATTTAGTCAAAACCATTTACTATTTCAAATCTTTGTATTTGTAGTTAAAATACAGTAAATCGACGATGATATCTGTACTTTAAAGAGGCTGGGGGGGGTGGGGGGGGTGGCCATTTTTAGACTATATTGATCTCCTTTAGAAGAAGAGCTCCATGTGAAGATATAGAAAATGATCAAATTTTAAAACTAAAATGTTTGAAATGTTTAATTTGTTGACCCCCCAGCCTCCTTAATTTGAAAAACTATAAAATTGTTACCGGAAATAAAACTCTTTAAAGGAAAAAATTGCATTTAATCAGCAGATGAATTAAGAGTACCATTAAGCTCTCTATATTGACTACAATAACCCAGGCTTAGACCTTTCAGATAAATTAATTGTACAATCTTGTTCTACAAGGGGCATTGATGTAGAAAAGCAATATTTGGCCTTCAGGCTATTCGATTTTCTGTATGAATGAGCAAAAATAAGTTTTAATTTCCTCCTTAATACTGATGATGTGAACATTCAAAATACTATTTCAAAGGGGGGATTTTCTGGCAAATGGATTCTCAAAACACGATCGCTGTGACTGCTTTGTTGCATTGTAAATAAGTTGGAAGCCTAGTTTAATTTTTCTGGGTTATTTTCAGGTCATGTAGAGTGGTGGTTTTGTTCCATTCCAAATAAATTTTGTTTTGAAAATACACGGTCTGCAAGTAATGACATACGACATTGCTACCCATGAGTTCGTTAATTCTTGTGAGTTTCACATGCTATAACTTTAATCCTAGATAAAAATAGGGATATTGAAAGCATGTAATCTGATTTTCATTATGTCATTTTGCCTTTCAATAAGTATCTCATTTGCCCCCTTCGGTCATTGTCAAAATGCGCCAAGTATCATTTTTCTGTTTAACTACTCGTGATAGTGGCTCATAATGGATCGCATACTTATACTGATATGTCGTATATTAATGCCAATATTGATGTTGTACACATTTTATTGATATGAATTTAAATACAATAAACAAAATTTTATTCATGTGAATCTCCCTGGTCATTATGGTGACACATGCATTCAATATCAGGCGCTCGTGGAAGAGGTCATCCCAGACCACTGCAGTGGACATCGATCTCGTATGAATTACAGTAATATAGCCTAGTATTTAAATTATAAAATGGCTCTAAGTGAGGTTGTGGGTGAATGTTTAATGTAGTTAGACTAGAGATAAGCCTTTCTATTCATTAAGGACAATATTGATGTTATGACTTCCATTGCTACAATAGAATCCTTCGTAAAAATGCGCATTCAAAGCTTTAAAGCGACATCGTTTCCTCTATTTATTATTTTCTTTAAAACGAACTTAACTTCACTGTATAGGGGTGTTTGAGCAGGGGTAAAGTACTTAACAGGATTAATTCTTTTTACCGATGATTTTTAAGTTAACAGATAGTTTATTGATGACATTTAGAAAACTATTTATGCTGAGATAATATCTCCTATGTATGACTAAAGAGTATATACCTGCTTTTATGGAGAAATATTTTTTAATTTTAAAATCCTATGGTGCATCCAATGACGGAACTAATGAGTCGATCAAGAGAATCGTTTTCCAATATTCTTACTTACAATTCTTTATGGACTAAATGTTTTAAATAACATTGACGGCATCGAGGGTTTATCTGTCGAATCATCTATGAGGAGTATTCTTACTTTGGGAAGTGTATTGAAAATCCGTGGAGGCATTAGTGGTTTCTTATTACATCCTATTTCCAATTGATTTGTAAATCATCAAAATTGGACATATATTTCGGTTGCTGCTCGATTTTTAATTACTTCTCATTTTCGTCGGGTTTTTTACTGTAATGCCTGTTCTTACATTGATTTCGAAGCCAGATTCATAAAAAGGGAAATGTAATACATACTTCCAGTTCTAAGCATTTCTCCATTTACTTTTTCCCTTAATGACAAAGACGTGGATTTAGTTCTCAGTAGCTGAGGACATTAATAGAGAAAAATAAAGACGCAGTGTAAGAAATATTGGGATCGTTACCCTAGCAACAGTTGCTAATTGTGACATATTATCGGATTCAGAATAATGTTGGATCAGGAAAATGAGGACGAGTCGGGGTATGTCTGTACTTTTCTAATCTATTTGTAGCAGTATGTTTCAAATTTCTTGCGAAAAAGGACGAAGACACACGATGCTGATTTTTTTTCTGAAATTAAATAAGGGTTTGGGATACTTGTCTAATAGAGGCTTGAAAGAGTCGAGGTATGCCATTATATGTTGTTTTTCTGAACAGAATTTGTTGCAGCGACTAGAATGAGACATGACTTGGAGTGAATTGTAAATTTTAGATCGTGTTTCACTAAAATCATGCATGTATCATATGCTGCAGTAAAACACGTTTCTAATTTAACGTCCTGAAAATATTTTATGATGTCTTTTTCTATGAGCGACATAAGCTCTCTCTCTCTCTCTCTCTCTCTCCATGAACTGTGTTATTGTCCACTACACTTTCAAAGTTAAACTCGTCCTTGATGAAAGATTTATAAACATGACGTTCCGATTATTGTTTTTCCTCCTTGAAAAGAAAAGAGAAGTCTATTAATCATGTTTTTATTTAAACAAACCCATTTCTTGTATTGACAAAGCATTATAGTTAGGAAAAATCTCCAAACTTCCGCAAACACTTGCTTTAAAATTATTAGAATCCCGGACACGTTACATATATTTACATAAAGCTTCTTCACAAGGAAAGCATATCGATAAAGTACAATTTTCAATATACAATCTATAAAATAAAATAACGAGAGAAAACAGACTATTGATCACGACTGTTTTAAACAAATATGCTGTCTCCGGGGTCCCTCTTCAGCATACTTAAGAATTCCGAGTGTCTGTTGGATTGAAATCTTGAAGCATCCTTCACGAGTCTATTGGTCGTCTGAATAGAGCGACCTTTATTGTTCCTCTTTTGAGTTATATAGACTTGTAGGTATTCTTCCTTCGTAATATTGTCTGCAATGGAATCGACGTATGGGTTACACCATCACGAAATCACTTCAGTTGACATTTCTTATATTCCTTAAACACCTGAAGAGGGGTTATTAATCGTCTCCGTTCATGAGTTTCATAAAAATGCCATGGTTAAAAAAATACTAAGTAATCGGAAGTTTATTAGAAAGGGGACCATCTGTTTATATACTTTTGGCTCTGTTCATCTAAATGTAGTTCTTTCTATTTTTTTTTTTTTTAATAAATTGTTTCTTGCACACAACCATTTATCAGTTACGTATAACGAAAAGCTAAACAATACATAATGTTTTTGAGTCAGATTATTTATTATCATGCTAGTGTAGGACAGATTATTTATTTCCAAGATTATCGGGGACAAATTATTTATTTTCTTCCTCACTGAAAAAAGTTTTACAAAGCAAGCAAGGGAAAAAAGGAAAACGGCCAAACTCCTATACACTATTTGGTAGAGTGGGTGGTTGGGGGGGGGGAGGGGGAGTTAGTACATGTACATGTTGCACCAGACAAGGATAGTTTATATAATTTATATTTATTGCCAGTTGAGGACAGATTATTCATTTTCAACATTTACGAGGACAGTTTTATTTACAAATTCTGCCAGCCCCCTTCTTTTGATTCAATGGTCGTCACCCCTTACCCATCTATTTTTTCATTTTACAGTTAAAAATGTTCTATTTGTAGTCAAAGTTTTGTAGCCTTGATAAGAATTTAATGATTTATCAACTCTTCAGGATCAAATCATTTGACAAAGTGTCAATTCCTGCACTCCGTGTGACTTGCTTTTAATGTCTACTCTCAACATATCAAAGTTCCAAATATTTAAATCGCACCATTGAAAACTGGAGATAAGATCAGTTTCACTCTATCCTCATTGAGATCTAATTATGAAACTTAATTGCAATCTAGACATACAAATATCGTGATATTACCTTTAGAATACGAAATGTATGAAATTCAGGGGTCTTTAAATTTTGTAAGTGTAATTTTTATCTGACGAGATTTAATTAAAAGTCTTTTGAAGTGCCATGTTTACACTTCCATCAGGTTTGATTGTCGTACAGAGATTTTTTTTTCAATTCGAGGGGGCGAAATCATTTGGATCAGAAGTAAAGCTGAATTCATATACTAGTACTAAGTGTTGGCAATGACCATAATGACTGGGTAGATATCAGATATCCAGGACATGCAGTGACCATAATGACTGGGTAGATATCAGATATCCAGGACATGCAATGACCATAATGACTGGGTAGATATCAGATATCCAGGACATTAAAAGAGTCTAAAGAGACGGATCGATCCGTCTCAAATACATCTCAAATGCATCTCAAATACATCTCAGATCAAAGTACTTCAGATTGGGGCACGTGCAAACATTCTCAATTTACTGTTATCGACGAGCAATTGACTACTTTTTTGTGACTTGAAATGCATATACCTTTCTTAATCCACTTAAGTCTCTCTAAGTGTGAAGAAAATCACTTTTAGTTTGGAGTCTAAGTTTGCCGTTGCTCACAATTTTTTTTTAAACCTATGAAAGATTTATTTGCTTTTGTCAGAGAATTGGAATTTATGAACACCTGAGCATGAATTGCAAATTTTCTTAATTTTCAACTCAAACAATTTCCAACTATTAATTTAGAACTTAAAATATTTCAAGAAAGTCTGACAACTGTACCAGCACATTTATTCTTCTAGTTTCAGAATTCACATCGTTACATATACAGTAAAAAATAAACGTTTTATAAATTACAAGTTCAAATATTCATGTATAAATAAAACGTAAATTGGAATTCAAAACCACCACATTGAGTATAAGAATTGCGTTTAGTTTACGATCGTGTTCATTTTCCCCTTTTGTTAAAGTTAAATGAAGTTCTAGTAATTCCGGTTTTTCTCCTTAAATCAGGGAAAAAAGTTCCATCATTGTCTGATCAATGGGTATGATGCCAAGGAAACATATTATTAAGAAGGCTAATCCTGATAAAACCAGATAATAAAAAACTCTTTTGTTACTAGACAGAGGTACGCTAACTTTCATTCCGATCTGGCAATAAAACGTGCATTTCAATACACAGAGTGATATTTAAATGAAAACTGTCTTTATTTACGATCGGTGTAAATCATTTTCTCTTTACACATGTTATTATATGCTAGTATATGTGCACTTTCCATTAATCTATCTTTTGTGTACCATATTTATTTCGCATTTCGTTTTTGCTTTCAGAACATGTAAGTATACAATAGGATATTTTATGTGTAAATATTTCAATTTGATATGTACTTTTACTGCAATTTTGATATGAAATATTATTTGGTAAAGATGTGAAAGATAATGTTCATTTTAAATTAAGGGAACGAAACTAATAAAAAGACATGTACCTTTATGGAGTTTTGCTTATTAATCAAACAAAACATGTGAACTTCAAAGCTAAAAGCTTAATATTTATTCGTGCATTAATGACATTGTATCAAGAAAATACTGATTTGTGAGGGCATTATAATGCGGTATTTGCTTTGCTTGTTGACATAGTTATGGAAACCAATTTATTGTCAACACAGACTTCATTATCGGAAAGGCACTGTACTGTTTTTTGTTTATTCGACTGGTTTGATTAAGCAAGACTTTTTAATTAAACCGGAGTAGCCGAGTTCATTACCTGTAGTTGCTTTTGCAAAGACAGGTCCCTAGGGTCTTAACTGTATGTGTCATTTGAATTTAATATATAATGTCTCGTCCATTTAGGAGAATGCTATCAGTGGTGAAGGATGCTACGGACACCAAAAAGTTTTACGAGACTACGGAAAGAAACAGACAATATGATGGTGTGGAAGATAAGGATGAAAAGGATCTACCACCCGTGTTCAACAAAAGGTTGTTTGTCACTCAGGGAGCAGTCATTATCACGAAGGAAGCAAGGCGCATCATGACCCGAAATGCAAGATGCTCCCCCGATGAAGATCCAACTTTAACGAAGTCAGAAATGTTGACGATGCGATCAGTTGTTGATGGACTGAAGTTGATTCATAAAGGACAGGATTACATTAAAAATGTTTTGTCCCGGTGTGTGACTTTGGAAACATATAATGCATTTCAATATGTTAAGAAAAAATCTTGGGAAGACATATTATCTTGTTATTACATAGTCCATGGTGCCGTGGAAGTGACGTATGATATGTCTGCTGCGGGACAGTCATCTTCTCGGAATGTTTATCAACCAAATATCATCTACAGTCACGGGACAGCGGAATACCTCGGCATTGTTAGTGCTGAGGGGCGGGATGAAGATATTGCACCTCCTGCAACTGTGTATACGAAGGAATTATGTGAATTTATTCGTATAGATAGAGACAGATTTCATAGACTGATTGAAATTGAAGAATCTCTATTGATGAACGAAATACAGCAATATTTTAAATCAGGGTCTAGCATTCTTTCCACACTTTCCGAAGATGTACAAGCCAAAATCCTTCCAATGATTCAAAAGCATGTAAGACAGTTATCATATTATTTTACCCTTTAAGATAATCTTAGATAATATAAAACACTCATAATACTTGTCTGTCGCAAAAATAGAATTTGGCTGTGATTTTGGAATTCACTTTTTAACGCACATTTCACAGTTTTCTGAGCAAAATCGGTTAAAACAATATAGTATTACAAACGAGTATATGTTAGTATCCAATTCATCATTACATCATTTAAATAAAAAAGTTTCTTTCACGATTTTATGTATTCTCAAAAAACAGCGAAAATTCAAAATGCCAAATATAGCTCTTTGACAGTTAAGGGGAAAACGTATTCAGCTATAATACACTGCTTGTTCTAAAAGCATACATTTTACGATGATTGATTTTGTTTTGTTTCTTTGTTTGTTGTCTTTTTTTTTCTATCTCGAGCTTCTACGGCAAGGAATCAGTTTGTATCTTTATTAACTTATCTGACAGGAGTATCCCCCAAACAAAACACTGATAGAACAAGGCGAAGAGACGGAATATCTCTACGTCATAGTGTCAGGTAAGCAGAATAATTTAGATGTCAAGGCACACTCAAGCTCTGAACCAGCACATCAACTTAAAGATTTTGAAGATATTTCAGCCTTTGTTGAATATAAACGGACAGAAATAAGAAACATATTATTACACTGAAAACATAGGCATGGCAAAGCAGAGCACATTGATGTAAATTATTACTTCCGTTACGCACGCACTCACCCATCTACTCACTACACACTAACAAGAGCGTTGCTATATCCCCCCCCCCCAACTTCGTTGCAAAGGGATAATAAAGACACAACAGACACAACAGACAAAACACTAAACTATAAAGAAGACTGACTGATATTTTATTTTAAGGTCGTGTGCAGTGCTATAGGGAGGTGTACATTCCAGAGGCGAATCGGAACATCGTATTTTATGTCTGCTGCAGAGAGAAAGGTGTTTGTCACTTTTTTCTTTCCTTTCTAAAAAAAACTAATATTGATAATTTTGAAACTTTTTCAAAATTATGCATGAACTTTAAAAAAAAAAACAAAAACAAAAATTATACTGAATTTTTTCTCTCCTGGAATTTTCAGTGTTAAGGATATATTCTGCTGATTATGCTGAGGTGTCAGTCATTCCTCTGGTTTTATCCATTAAAATATACATAATTTTTTGTCCACTAACTTCCTATTATCTATTCACATTTTGATTCTTTGTAGTTTTGATAGTCTTCTATAAATATATTAAGAAAAGTTTAATTCAAGATCATTAGTTTTCAGAGAAAGAAATTTTCCATTTATTGCCCTTGAAAAATCTCAAGAAGTCTGGTTTTCCGCCATATTTTCAATGCAGCGATATATTTGAAAAAAAAAAATTAATATTTTCTAAAAAATATTCTTACTAACTCATATTTTTAGGTCACCTGAGTCACTCAGGTGACCTATTGCTATCTGTTTTCGTCCGTCGTCGTCCGTCGTGCGTCGTCCGTCGGTCGTAAACTTTTGAACATTTTCAGCTTCTTCTCTTGAACCACTGAACCAATTTCAACCAATTTTGGCATATAGCATCAATGGGTGAAGGGGTACAAAAATTGTGAATTTCATGGTCCCTGCCTCCCTTGGGCCTGAGGGGTGGGGCTAAAACCATCAAAATTAGTGCTATCTTTAAAAATCTTCTTCTTTACTCCTGGACATCAAGCAGTCAAACTGTTGGCATGATTGTAATAAGCATTGAGCCCTCTACCAAAATTGTGAAATTCATGGCCCCAGGGTCAGGGGTTCTGGTGCTAGGGTGGGGCTATATAGATCATATAGTGAAAGTGCATTATTTCTTTGAAAATCTTCTTCTCTACTCCTGGGTATTATTGAAACAAATTAAATACATAGTTATGATAAGCAAGGGTGACTCTACCGAAATTGTGAAATTCATAGCCCCAGGGTCAGGGGTTCTGGTGCTAGGGTGGGGCTACATAGGTCATATAGTGAAAGTGCATTATTTCATGAAAATCTTCTTCTCTACTCCTGGGTATTATTTAAACAAATTAAATACATAGTTATGATAAACAAGGATGCCTCTTCCAAAATTGTGAAATTCATGGCCCAAGGATCAGGGGTTCTGGTGTTAGGGTGGAGCTATATAGATCTTATAGTGAAGGTGAATTATTTCTTTGAAAATCTTCTTCTCTGCCCCTGGGTATTATTTAAACAAATTTAGTACATTGTTATGATACGCAAGGATGCTTCTTCCAAAATTGTGAATTTCATGGCCCCAGGGTCAAGGGTTCTGGTGAAAAAAAGGGGGGGGGGCTCTATTGATTATATAGTGAAAAAGCAAAATTTCTTTGAAAATATTCTTTTCTGCTCCTGGTTAAAAAGCAAAGAAGCTAAGTGTATAGTTATGATGAGCAAGAGTGCTTCTTCAAGAGTAGTGAATTGCGTGACACCTGGGTCAGATGTGCTGGTGTAAGGGTGGGGCTCTTGATAATATAGTGAAAATGCATTAATTCTATTAAATAATCCTATCTACTCTTAGTGTTAAGCAGATAAACAAAGTGATTACTTATGATGAGCAAACTTCTGGTCGCAGGGTGAGAGGATCTGGTGTTTCTCACTGGGGAGGGGGAGGGGGGGGCTCTATTGATAATATAGAGAATCTGTAATAAAAATGCATCATTTCTTTAAAAATCTTCTCTGCACCTGGGCATATCAGAGGCAAAAAGAGTAAAAGTTTTAATAAGGAAGAGTATTTTTACCAGATTTTTGAACATCTGGACCATTTGGTCAAGTGTTCTGGTCCTGGCCAGGGCTCTATTAATTTGTATTCTACTGAGAGGAGTTATTCCCCTTTGCCATTTACTTTTGATAATTAATCACAGTAAATAATGTACTTGAAAGGTTAATAGAATAAGAGAATTATGCAAGAATTTTTATTGTATAATACAAAAAGTACTTCCATAGTATTAATGATCAGGTGTACTTGTAAGTAATAGATAAATAAAAACGAGACAAAAATAACTTGTCTTTTTAAATGTTCATCAAAGAACCAAGAGAAGCCAATGTAAGAGATTTCAACAAGGAATTAAAGTAGTACAGAAGCACTGATAGTTTGCTAATATACTGTATGATGATAGTGATAAATGGGGAACAGATTAGAATCTAATTTATGAACTGTTAATAAATACTAGACTAATTATTTTGTTGATCCTGATCACCCTATTTTTCTTGCTTTTGGGCAACAAAGCTTCACCTTTCAGTTCATTTTATACTCTATGGATCCTCTAAATTGTTGTATTATACTCAGGTGACCGTTAAGGCCCTTTGGGCCTCTTGTTCTACTTCTAATTTTATTTCAAATAATGAATACATTGAATTAAAGTACCAAATTGAAAAGTTTTATGCAAGATACATGTATCTCAGCAGAATACATCCTTAAGTGAGATCAGTTAATTGTGAATTGAGAATCAAGAATTTGCTGTGATTTAAACAAAGCGATGTGTTTTAAATACATTCAAGTTGGTCTATCCTTTCTCTGAGAATTAAATTATCCTGACAGATGACTATTTTGGAGAGGAGGGTGTCTTGGACCATGATGGTAGTTACTGTAGAATTACAACAACTAGTCACACCATTTGTTACAGGTTTCATAGGTAGGTTGAATATTTTTATGCAAAATGACCAAAAGTTGTCGTTCTTTTATAAGTGATATGAAATAATGTTTCCTAATGTCGTTTATTACATGTGCTTTCACAGGTTTGCTTAACAATAATTCTTTATATAAGGATGGAACAGTTTAAATGGCCTTGTCTGAACAGTATGGACATGGTAATTTTTGAAAAGGGTTTGAGAAAACTAGATTTTTTTAAAGGGGTTAGGATATTTCAATCGTCAAGGTCACCAAGAAAAGAGAACTTGAAATTTGCATATATTATCAAGGCGGCCATAACTTTGTTACATTCGTTTGAAAATACTTAATCACTTTAAAGTTTATGTTATCCCATATCTCCACATCCATATACATGTAAATATTATCCTGAAATCTTTCTTCAATAACCTGCAATGTAGTACCGGCCAAGGATCTAGGAAGGCATGACATTTTTTTTGTCCCCTAACCAATTTTAACGTCTCAGTGCACAGAGACCTTCAGATGTAACACGAAGTTTATTTGAGTGTAAAATAAGAAAGAATTCATTCCAGTAAAGATGTGCACAGTTATGACCCGGACATGATATAGTAACAGACAGATTTACGGACAATCAGAAAAGAGCCATGTCATAAGCAAAATGTGTCCATCACGTGTAGGGGGAATGAAAACTAAAACTCTGAGCAAAATTTTCTTTCATTAACCAGAACTGCACTAAAAGTAGTCAATTTTGAGAAATTAGAGCGAATTCTCCAAGAAAACCGCCATGATTTTGTGGATGAAGACGAGCTTCGAGATCGTGGATATAAGAATCACATCTGGAACAACTACAAACATAATAAAGTTAAAGAGTCCCTCAAAGAGAAAGGAAAGCTAAAATACATGTGTAAAATGAGAGAGCACCCGGTGACAGACAGACCTCCTAGCGAAGAGTGATTATTATTTACTTATTGCATAATTATTCCTCAAGTATCAAATGTTTTTACTTGAAATAATAGAACATCTTGGATAAGAGATTTCAAAAAGTTGCATAACGAAACCATAAAAGCATAAAACTGTCAATATAGACGTTAAAATTCAATACTTTGTTAAGATTTCTGGATTTGAGTTTTGATATGTAAGTACGCCCTCGAGATAAATGATGTAATATTTGGACTTTGTAGAGAGCAGATGACGGAAAATATGTATGGTTTTGTCCTCAAAGGAAGCAGCTTTAATCCGCCCAAAGTTCGAACTTTGTCTTGTCATTCGATGTCTCGACCCCACACCGCCCCACACGCTCTCAACGGGAAGTTGTCAGGGGCGGTAGAGGACCGCAGTGAAAGCAATTCAGGTAACTGAGTTGATAATAAATTTTAACCTCGGTGAAATATAACAGTGTAAGGAATCATAAACTTTCATTAATTATAACTTATGCCTTTTTTTGATTTTTGAATCTATAAATCCGAAATATGTGCAAAGTCTCTTCACGTTTGTTTTCGTGTAACTACTGTACATGATTATACAATAACATGTATTTACTATAAGGCTTATTGAAGCAATTATAAATTCGGTTCCTTCCCTTTATGAACAGATTCAGAATCTTCCGATGAAGAAACTAAAAATAGACAACTTATGACGTCAGAGTTAGCAAAAACCTTGGACCAACTCTGTACAAAGGTAAAATTGTACTTTTCAATTACACGACTGTAATTATCTTACTTGTATTTAATTAAAACATCAATTTTTAGATTTCGTTAATATACAAGTAATTCCAAGTAACAGATAATAATTTTGATTCTCAAAAAAATATTTTTTTTTTAAAAAAAGTGTATTTCAAATGAAATATATTCAGTTGATTCTAAAATTCAGTTCCTCGATATGCGAAGTTAGGAGAATGTTGGTTAATCTTTAATTGTTATACTTTTTTGGCTTCATTGCAAACAGGAGGAAAAAATTATTTTTCTTAAACATATAAAGAAGGTAACAATTACACCAAAAATGGATACATGATATGCACGTCATACTAGAATTGCTTTGACAATTGTTAATGTATCTACATAATTTGCAAATATGTTGTGGTAGTCATTGTATGTATTTATTTATTACATTTTCAACAGTGAAATACTGTGATTTATTTATTGAATAAAAGTGATATTCTCTCACAGTGTGAAAGGATACCAAAATGATATTCTCTCACAGTGTGAAAGGATATCAAAGTAAGTAAAAAAATAATTTCTGGCCTGTCATAACATAGAGATAGTAACTAAGCATCTTGACAGAGCTAAAACTGCAAATTTCTTCCCAAATATGTTGCTAAAATCCATGCTATATAAGTAATGTTTTCAATCACACAACTGCTAAGCTATGACGTCAAGCCTATGACACTGTGTTGAGAAAAGACAGAGGCAAGGGGAAAATCAAAGAAAATGTAATAAACAGAAAATTCAATGTTTTGTAGATGAATATGGAATTTATTTCACTCGTGAGACAGGATTTTTTTTATATTTTCACTCGTGCTTCGCACTCGTGAAAATATAAAAAAAATCCTGTCCCACTCGTGAAATAAATTCCATATTCATCTACAAAACATTGAATATCCTCTATTTATATATTCGGTGTATAGAATATTCATATTATTATGCATGAAGGGATTAATGAAAGAGATCATAGTTAGCGAGTCTCTTATTGAAACAAGTATCAATGAACTGTGTATGATTACTAATATTAATTGAACTGATTTTGCAATATGCTTGTGAAAGAATAAGTGCATTTCATTTTAGCATTTAGAAATAACAGTTATTACCTTTATCTGTTCATTTGATAATTATTATCATTTATTGCTTTGTAAGTTATATTGTGTAAAACTTTAGTTCTCAAAATCCAAAATATTTCGTTTTGAAAGCTCTTTTTACTATCCGATAGCAGAAGAACTTATTATACTGCAGGTTCTTTAGCCACTTCAGCCAACTTTGTTTATTTTATGTACTAGTATTTCTGAATATATCTGAAAAGAAATCATATTAAATCCTCTATCTATATGATGTTTAGAAGTCTTCTTCGACAAAGAAAGGACGGAAAACAGATGCAGTGCGTAAAGTTATTTCCCCTGTATTACCTTTACCATCTGATTGCTGTGTGTTGTGTTTCTCTGTTTTACCAAAAAACAATTAAATGATGATCTTTTCTATCTCTATAATCAGAAAATATCAAAGAGCTAACAGATGTCATATCTAGAAATAGCGAAATGATTTTATCGTTCAACGAAAAAAAAAAAATGATTTTATCATTCAACGAAAAAAACATTTGATAAAGAGAAAGAAAATTGAAGTTGTTCATAAATAATTAACAGTCCATTAACAACGACCGGTTGTGAATCTTGAAAATGTAGAAGGTATTCTTAGTTAAACCTTATCAATCCTTTTTCCCCCAAATACTAAGCTCTTTATAAACCATCTCTCTGAATGTTCTAAGCTGTAAAACTGAAGTGTTGCAACATCCTTGAATTTTTTCTTCATATTTCAGGAATACAGAGTTATTTCTACAGACTCCTTTACCATCGGGATCCATAATATAATAACCGATTAGATTTACTAACAATAAAAAATCCTATAGCTTGCATACATATACAAATTATACGCCGAAAGCAAAATGTTTATTGCATGGCTGCTATTACATTACTAACATATTTTAAGACAGAATGTGATCTTCAGTATATTGTTAATTTTATTAACGTTAAATTCTGTTCATTTATTAACATTTATCAACATTCCAACCATAATGTATACTTTTTTCAAAGTATGTTAAATGGGTCTTCATTTATTGTAATATTTTTTAAGAATCTAGATGCGGACAATATCATGAACATCTTAGATGATAACAGTGAGATCGGACGTCATTTAAAGAAGGCATGGGAAACGCAAGAGGTCGAGCAGCCGGAAAAAGACTCTTTTATGGTATGTCGCAATCAGAATTGTTAAGAAAAGCGAATTGATTGTATGTTTCAGACTAGCTGCAATAATGTAGCCCTCTCTCTTTTTTTTGGGAGAGGGCTACAACTCCTTAGGATCTCCGTAATGGTGCAAGTGCGGGAGTGATTCACTCCCGCGCGGATTTCGGCTTAAATTATCAGTAAATGACTATTTAATTAACATTTCTTACCTGAACTCCAAAAATGTAGTTATGCAAAACATAAATCAATCCAAAACATACACAGAACAATCCATATATCGGTTATTTTTCGTGTATGTCAACATCACAACTTGAATTTATCCGCCATATTTACTGACCTTGATCGATTTTATTTTGGGACAGCCAATGAGACTAGGGATCTCTAGGGAGCGGATCTCTGTAGGAATTAGGCCTACCTTATTTTAGGCATAGATATCGCTGTTTACGAAAAAATGTCACATGGAATAGTTTTATTTATCAATATTTAGTGATGCCATACAGCACAATCATTTAGTAACCCCGAAAATCTACTTTACAAAGTCATTTATAATTTTCAAGCGCAAGTCTCAGTGCATCACGCGAGAACTGTCATTGCTTCTGATGAGAGCGACTGGTAAACAAGCAGATTTATTTTATCTGGTTTTCGCGTTTAACGGGCTATGTTTTTGACAGTGAATAAAAATTTCGCCTTTTTAGAAGTAAGTTGAATGTAAAAACAATTTATTTTGCCCGCAGTCGCCCGTATTTAAAAAATATATTTGCACCATTACAGAGATGCTTTAGAATTGTAGCCCTCTCCAGAAAATATCAGATTAAAAAAAATCGGAGAGGGCTACATTATTGCAGCTAGTTTCAGACATATTCAATTTTCAAGAAACCCAAATCAGAATAACTGAAAGTCATTTTCAAAAAATATTTTCTATGTAGAAAAATGGAATTCTTGCCATTATGGGATCAGATGATATTGTGCGTAAAGCCATGGCGATGGCAGAAAAAGAAGTCTCGCATCAGAGGCGGCGAAGGTCCACCAAAGATGACGAAGAGTAGGTCCATATACAAACGATAACTTTGCGTTCTAAAATAAGAATTTTTGGGTGGAGTTAAATACAAAATTTACATAACTTTTAAAAACGTAATTAATGAAGGTACAAGATTTTAAAGATTAAACATGACAATACTAAGTAAAATATTCACACTATTGACTACAATGTAGTCGTTTGTTTGTTTTTTTTTTCTTTACTCTGGTAGATGACATCTAATTCTTCTTCAGTTGTTGTATACGAAAGTATACAAAAAGAAAAGTTAAAATTTCAATATTTTTTGTTAATAATAAAAAATCTGGAATTTTCATGCCTTTCCTATAAATATCTCAGAACAAGTGTCTTTACATATACAGTGTACAACTTGAAAAAAGTGTTTTTTATGATTTGGTACTTATTACTTATCTGAATATCACTACATGTATCAAAGCGTACAACGTAATTCAAATTCTAAATTAATTATCAATGTAAACGTAATGTAGCTTTAATTTAGAGTCATTTGACACAATAAGCAGTGTTATCATCATTATGAGTTTACTTCGATTTCTGCTCTTATTAATTTAATCATTCACATTTAGATGGAACACAGTCGTTCACGCAGAAAACAACCAGGCTAAGTTCCTGATAGCTGCCAATAAATTGAGGATAAATATCCTACGTAAAAATTTAGCGGCCATTGAAAAGGAACGGAAATTAAACGCTCAAAAAAGAATCCGCATTAACAGGAAGCCATACGTGACAAGTATAAAGGAAAACGTACAGGATACTAAAGCAGAACCACTAAAAGACAGTTCAAAGAAAAAGTTTTTCCCGGATAGATTAAATGAACAAAGTCGTGTTTTACAGGAAGATTTTGACAGAGAGGTAACATAAGTCATGTCCTATAAATAATAAATATCGCGATTTTTTTTTTTTAAGTAGTTATTGGCAAAAAATATTTAAAGTTAACACTTTTTAATTCTCAGGATAAATCGAATTTGTTTGTCGCAAGATCCCAGAAAAGATGGCGGCCTTCCACAGTTAATAACGATACAACCGAAGGATTTTCTGAACGATGTCATGTCAACACACAAACTTATGTAAAGTATTACAAATCCTACATGTACATACATGCATTTGTGAAAATAAAGTGGTTGAATAAATGAGTAGGTTTCGTTATGAATTTTGTTTTTTTTAGGTAAAAGTTGGTAGACCTAGAAGTGCCATCGTCACACACAGAGAAGCAATTGCATACAATGACAAACAACAGAAAATTCAATGTAAGTAACCATATATGTGTTTTTAGATGAATTAAACAGTTAAATTCATTCATAAACTTCTGAACACGTTTCAGACTTTTTTTTTTTGCAGAAAATTTATAATGAAAAATCAATTTGATTAAACTATGAATTAAAAGAATTTTGATTTTTGCAGACCACAGAAACGGTAGAAGTCTATACAACAGTACAGCCAATATATCTGCCGTCTTGGATAAAGGAAACCCTTCACGTCCTAATAGTTCTAGAAGTATCAGAAGCCGTTTGTCCAGCACATAATACATAATTTAACTTAAATATTTAACGTGTTGTTACTTTATCTTTGTTGATATATTAAAACAATAATCACCAAAAGGTTTTTGGCTGTTTTAGTGTAAACATTCATTGGTAACACACTGAAGGGTTTTGTTGGTAAGACACTGAAGAGCTTTTCCATTGTCCATTCCATACAGTTACAAACTGATACATTTTACATATAATATACTAAGAGGGTTTTCACTTGGAACCCTTCAACTCTTTTTTTTTTTCGTAGTCTTCATTCTCGTTGTGTCTTACTAGTACATGTACCTGGCACAGACTTCAACATGTACACCGCTTTCTAAGTATTTTACTTTTGAGAACATTCGATCATGCAGATATTCACTTGACGTTGCTCACTGACTAGTCCTATTTTCACTGGTGACAACTACATTATATTTGTTATCTACTATTCCTATCACCCTAATCTTTAAATCCAAACAGAATATGTTCTAGTTTGCTGTTGATATGTGGTTGAAATTGTCTCTCCTCGGCTAATTCTTCTTCCGGGAAGTAGGCTGGAACTTCTTCTTTCCAGTCTATAAGTCTGAAGTATTTCACTATGGCCACCACCGGAATCCAGAGCACGGACGATAAGATCAGGAGCACAGCTATCACCTGGCACCACCAGGGCCACGGCACCACTTCTGTATACCCCTACAAATTAATCACATGAAACGTAATGAATTTCTGAATCCTTTGGTAAAGGGATATCTTCTCAAGAACTACTGGGCCATTTTCAACCTTTGCCACGAAGCATCCTTTAGTGAAGGGAATTTTAAGTTTATTCAAATGAAGGACCATGCCCTCTTTTAACGTGAGATAATTAAAAATTAGTGAAAATTTAATTGTATCTTAAAATATCTCTTAAGAACCATTGACAAGAAGAGTTGAAGTTTACATGAAAGCTTAATTACATAGTTTCGATCGATTCAAATCGTGTCTCCGGGGATTAGATGGGCCACAATAAACGATAAAAGTTTTACATAGGAAAATATAGGGGAAAAATCTTTAAAACGCTTCTTCACAAGAAAAGCAAAGTATTAATGGAAGCATTTTATAGTGTATATCAAAAGTTTCTTTTATTTATGAACCCTTTGGTTAGGGTGGTGCCACATAGGCCGATCAAAGTTTTATATAGGAAAAAATGGGGGGGGGGGTTTAAAAATTTGAAAAATATTTTTTTCAAATTAAGCAAAAGCACGGATAGTTATATTGATATGGAAGCATCCTCAGGTAGTGTAGATTCAAGTTTGTTCAAATCATGACCCCTTTGGGTAGGATGGGCCACAATGGGCGATCAAAGTTTTACATAAGGATATTCGGGAATTTATTTTAAAAAATAAAAAAAAAATCTAATGACTTTTTCTCAAGGACAACAAAAGCATGGTTAGTCATATTGATATGGAGGCATCCTTAGGTAGCATAGATTCAAGTTTGTTCAGATTATGACCCCTTTGGGTAGGGTGGGGCCACAATGGGCGATCAAAGTTTTACAAAGGAACATATAGGGAAAAATCTTTAAAATCTTCTTAAGCAAAGACATGATCAGTAATATTGAAATAGAAGCATCTTCAGGTAGAGTGGATTCAAGTTCGTTCAAATCATGACCCCCCCCCCCCCTTTCCGAAAGTAGGGTGGGGCCACAAAAGGCTATCAAAATTTCGCATAGGAATAATCAGCTGATGAAGAACAGCAGGGACCATAGTGACTCAGGTGAGCGATGTGACCAATGGGCCATTTGTCTTGCCAAAGAGAGAAACATCCATTTACTAAAGTAAATAGATTGGTGCTACATGTTTAATGACATATAAATCTGATTTTGGAGACATGGATAGAGCGTTGACTCTTCTATTCCTGGTCACTTGAATGGAATACTATTGATACCAAATTAATTTACGACATTCTTTCAATCTTTCCTTAATATGATCCATAAGTAAACTTTGAAGCACCTTTTCAGTTAATAAAACCGATAATTCATACCTGACAGGTGATCGACTTTGAAGTTGAACCCTTACTTAGTTTCTACTGATGTCTAATTATACGCTTCTTATCCTAATTGCACTTCAGAAGAATTTAAGACTATACCTTAAATGAGTTCCACACTTCATAGCTGACACCTTGTGAGAAAATTTCTACAAGACTTGCAACAAATATAACGATCATAGCAATTGGGCCTATAAACCGCCAACACAGTAACCAAAAATACCCTGGACGACTTCCGATCATCAGTTCTATATCGTTGCATAACCTTTTAAAAATAGAAAATAAACAAATTATATATGTTGCTTATTTTTATCTTATCTTAAAATGAACAAAACCATTTTGGGAAATTTTGCCATCAATTTAATTCCTGACTAACAATTTAGTTTTGCTTCTATTTTTAGAAACTTTTGCTTTACGAAGATTACAAGGGCCTTTGAAGTTTTAAGATATATAATTATAAATTCTTCATTGTGTGTTAGACAACATTTCAACTCTTTTTGACTGAAAATGTATCAAAAACACAACTGATGATTTTTAGCAAAAACATGAAAAAAAGATAACGAAACCAGGCACGATATTTAGTCTATTACAACTTGCAATTCGCACAAGACAGTTTAAATTTAGATTATAAGGATTACCTTTGTAGACCATATATGTAAGACATTGCTAAAAATTCTAAGAATGCTATGATCAGCAGTGGTATATTGGCCGAGAAGAAATCGAAGAGACTGAAGACGTACGATCCGGTACTGGTGGCGAAACATAGGGAGATCAGGAAAGAAACGAGACAGACAATACCTGTAATACAAAATTAAACAAATAATTCCAATTAAATTAGAAATGTCTCACTGAGTTTAAAGTTTAACTTCGCTAAATTGATAAACAGACATTAGGCTAATATTGATGTCATTACCTTTCGGAAATAGTAAATAAAAACTCTATTTTATGTGAAATATACGATGGCTAATCTTTTACAGCCATCAAATTTGAGAATGCGACGTGGGGATAAAATATGACTAATTCTTCGTCGGACATTTGTATAGCATTATATTACTCTTTACTATTGTTGAAATGCAGTAAAATTTTTGTGTTATTGATGAATCGCTACTAGAATAAAAATTGTTATTTCAAATACCAAATTAGAAAAGGTAGAACGTTGTGTGAAGTGTAAATCAGAAGAAAACATTAATTTTGCCTATAAATATTTAAACTTGGATTTTGTTTTGATACAAACCACACAGTATTTCTTTTCTGAGTTTTGGAAACAGCATCATGTCATTGATGGACGTTAAGGCGCCCTCTAGTGTACCAAACATGCTGTCCAATCCTAGCGTAAAGAGCATAAGGAAGAACAGAACGGACCAGAGTGGGGCGACAGGGAACTGGTTAATGGCTTCTGTAAAAGCTATAAAAGCTAGTCCTGTGCCTGATCCTGACTGCAATAGAAAAAGAACTCTTGGCATCTGTAGCTCCAAAGACTTGCGATACAGAAAATCAGAATGTCAATGAGATCTTGGACTTTTTAACCAGGTTATTTCAATGTTACCTCACACCCTTAAATTCATATTGCAAGCTAAGTTGGCCAACATAAATAGTCATAGTGTAGACCAGCGTGGATTATTTGTGAGAAAACAGTATTGAATTTAATGTCAGGTTCTAAGATAAACAGTTTTGCATTTGTTATAACTGACGAGGTCAATATTTTTGCCTCGATATTATCTGGCGAAATTTCATACGAATAAACAATGACTGTTTTGTGAATTAAGTTTATCCAGGATAATTTGTTCCCAGGATAAACCCTTCTTGCACAATTGAAATATTTTTATTTTGGAAGAAATTAAAATTTCAGAAAATTTTAAAGTCTTACGAAAGACTGACTGACACTATGCCAACCATATCTTGGTTTGTTTGAAAATTGCACAGGACAAGAGATATGTTGGATTCGGTATAGTTGTCTGCCTGCAACAATATAGTATCCCGGCAACAACTGCTTAATACTTGGTTATGGCTGACTAAAACGTAAGTACGTTATTGCCAATGACGTAACGATCTCATCACATGAATCATCACTTTTACATTTGTATGTAAGATCAAATCTCAAAGGTCAAAGTCACTGGATTGAGGATACACGTTTTGTTTTAAAAAAACAACTTATAATTTGTTTGTTGTTGTTATGTTTTGTTTTTTAAAGTAGGTTCGTTCAAGAAAACAAAATGCTACCTCTGAAATAATGGTTTTGAAATCACAAACTGTATTTGTTCCATTTTCCAGTGTCGTATTCTCGACTTGTGCAAGACAATCTTCATATGCCATAGTTGCTTTAAAACCTAGAAAAAAATTGAGCAGGTACATGTTCTATTTGATTTTGATGCATTTGATTATTGTAATTTACTGGTCGTTAGTGATGAATTTGTCATTCTAGAATTAAGGTTGTAGTGCACAGATTAGGCTTGATGTATCGGCAAGCCGCTAATTGACGCATGCGCAGTATTAAATTACATGAAACTTCCTTCATTTTAGCACCATTTTAACACTGATCGTACGCACCATAACAACACGAGAAGACAATTTTTGTCCATAATTTTATAAAAACTGTTATTTTTAGAAAGTAAAGAGCCAATCAATAGACACTGAACCTCCAGAGACATTACCGAGCACTAGGAAAATTGTGATCAATGAGAGGGGTTCTATGGGGATTTTTTGTCAAATAAGAAACAAATCACTGTCATTGTTGTACTCAGACAAACCAATTCCTCAACTAGCTGATTAAGGACAAATTTATTCCTTCAGTTGAATAAAATGAGAGATATAAATTTTGCATATAATATATTTATATTCATGTGTAGATATAAATTCTGATTTTGACAAGAATAGCCTGAATTTGTTCGCATAAATCATAATGACACGTGTAATTTAAAATTTGAAAAAAATTACAAAATTAATGGTTCCCATCTAGTTTGACACCAACTGAAGTCAGTATAAATCAAACAACGTATAAAGGCATTCATTCATACAAATATTATTAGTCGATAATATATCAAGGTCAAACATTTAGTTTTCTACTC